CCTACTGTCATTTCCCAATATCATACTGTCATTTCCCAATATCATACTGTCATTTCCCAATATCATGCTGTCATTTCCCAATAGCATGCTGTCATTTCCCAATATCATGCTGTCATTTCCCAATATCATGCTGTCATTTCCCAATATCATGCTGTCATTTCCCAATATCATACAGTCATTTTCCAATATCATACTGTCATTTCCCAATATCATACTGTCATTTCCCAATATCATGCTGTCATTTCCCAATAGCATGCTGTCATTTCCCAATAGCATGCTGTCATTTCCCAATATCATGCTGTCATTTCCCAATATCATGCTGTCATTTCCCAATATCATACAGTCATTTTCCAATATCATACTGTCATTTCCCAATATCATACTGTCATTTCCCAATATCCTACTGTTATTTCCCAATATCATGCTGTCATTTCCCAATATCATACTGTCATTTCCCAATATCATACTGTCATTTCCCAATATCATACTGTCATTTCCCAATATCATGCTGTCATTTCCCAATATCATGCTGTCATTTCCCAATATCATGCTGTCATTTCCCAATATCATGCTGTCATTTCCCAATATCATACTGTCATTTCCCAATATCATACTGTCATTTCCCAATATCATACTGTCATTTCCCAATATCATACTGTCATTTCCCAATGTCATGCTGTCATTTCCCAATATCCTACTATCATTTCCCAATATCATGCTGTCATTTCCCAATATCATACTGTCATTTCCCAATATCATACTGTCATTTCCCAATATCATGCTGTCATTTCCCAATATCATACTGTCATTTCCCAATATCATGCTGTCATTTCCCAATAGCATGCTGTCATTTCCCAATATCATACTGTCATTTCCCAATATCATACTGTCATTTCCCAATATCATACTGTCATTTCCCAATATCATGCTGTCATTTCCCAATAGCATGCTGTCATTCCCAATATCATACTGTCATTTCCCAATAGCATGCTGTCATTCTCAATATCATGCTGTCATTTCCCAATATCATGCTGTCATTTCCCAATATCATACTGTCATTTCCCAATATCATGCTGTCATTTCCCAATATCATACTGTCATTTCCCAATATCATGCTGTCATTTCCCAATATCCTACTGTCATTTCCCAATATCATGCTGTCATTTCCCAATATCCTACTATCATTTCCCAATATCATGCTGTCATTTCCCAGTATCATACTGTCATTTCCCAATATCATACTGTCATTTCCCAATATCATGCTGTCATTTCCCAATAGCATGCTGTCATTTCCCAATATCATACTGTCATTTCCCAATATCATACACTCATTTCCCAATATCATGCTGTCATTTCCCAATAGCATGCTGTCATTTCCCAATATCATGCTGTCATTTCCCAATATCATACTGTCATTTCCCAATATCATACTGTCATTTCCCAATATCATACTGTCATTTCCCAATATCATACTGTCATTTCCCAATATCATACTGTCATTTCCCAATATCAGATTCAGATTCAGATTCAGTTTATTTGCCATTTGCAGTAAAAAAAACACATTGGAATACATTAGCCAAAGTCTCCAGTGTGCACAGACAAATACAGACATAAAACAAGATTAAAAGACAAAAATAAAACAAATAAAACAGTAAACAAAAGTCACTGTGAAATCGATCGACTAAAACAGTTCAAAACAAGTGCAAATCATTAAAGTGCTCTGTTCACACTGATAACAGCTTGTGGATAAAAACTGTTAGCGTAACGAGATGTCCTGCATCTCAGAGAGCGATATCTTCTGCCAGAGGGAAGAAGCTGGAACATGGCTTTCCCAGGGTGGCCAGAAGAGTCATTAACAATCCTAAGAGCTTTGTTTAAAAGTCTGGATTTATAAAGAACCTCCAGAACAGGAAGCTCACAGCCCACGGTCCTCTTTGCAGAGCGGAGCACCTTGTTTAAAGCTCTCTTTTCTTTATCTGTGATGTTTCCAAACCACACAGACACAGAACCAACAAGTAAACTCTCAATGGTGCAGCGATAAAAGTTAAGCAGAATCTTAGAGTTAGTGGTAAATTCTCTAAGTTTACGCAGAAAGTAGAGACGCTGACGAGCTTTCTTAACGACTCGGTCAGTGTTTTTAACCCATTTCAGGTCGTTAGACAGAGTTAAACCCAGAAACTTGCACTCCTCTACGATCTGTACCTGGGAGTTGTCGATTATGACAGGCAAATGAGAACTATTGCGACTGAAGTCGTAGACCAGTTCACATGTTTTCGATGCGTTCAACTGGAGGTTGTTAGTTTTACTCCACTGAACCACATTTTGTATCTCTGCTCTATAAGAGGATTCATCATTGTCACTGATGAGACCGATGATGGTGGTGTCATCAGCATATTTAATGATCAAGTTTGAGTCAGAGGAGGATACCCAATCGTGAGTGTACAAAGTAAAAAGCAAAGGACTCAAAATACATCCCTGAGGAGAACCAGTGCTCACAGAAACAACATCAGAAAAACAGTCATTGATTTTCACTCGCTGAGATCTGTCAGTTAAAAAGCTAAAAATCCATTTACACATGGCAACACTTAAACCGAGAGACATGAGCTTTTCAATCAGTTTACCTGGGACAAGGCAGTTAAAAGCAGAGCTATAATCGATGAAAAGCATTCTCACGACAGATTTACTAGTGTCCAAGTGACTGTAGACAGAGTTCAGAGCAAAGGAGATGGCATCCTCCACACTCCTGTTCTGTCTGTAAGCAAACTGGAGCGGGTCAACACTCACAGGGATCTGGCTCTTAATGAAGTCCAGCACAAGCCGCTCAAAAGTTTTCATAAGAACAGACGTGAGGGCCACGGGACGATAGTCATTCAGGCATGTCACAGGAGTTTTCTTAGGAACTGGAATGATGGTCGACTCTTTAAAGCAGTTCGGCACAGTACAGTTCCTTAGCGACAGGTTGAAAATGTCTGTTAGCACAGGGGCAAGTTGCTCAGAGCACAGTTTCAGGACACGAGGAGGGATGCCGTCCGGGCCTGGGGCTTTCCGGACTGTGGTCCTGGACAAGACACGCCTGACTTCCTCCTGAGTCACGGTGAAGGTACCTTGATTGAAACACTCAGGGAATACAGTAGGACAGGCATCAGTGGATTCAAAGCGACAGTAGAACGTGTTCAGCTCGTTTGGCAGAGCTTGGCCGACAGATGCAATTTTCCCAGCGCTAGGTTTCCACGATGTGATGGCTTTAATACCGTTCCACATGCGCCGAGGGTCATCTTCCTCAAAATAACTCTTTAACCTGTCCCCGTAACTGCGCTTTGCAGATTTATTAGAACGTTTCAATGAGTAACAGGATAGCTTGTAAGCAACTGTATCATTTGATTGAAACGCCAACGCACGCTCATGAAGTTTCAGTTTCACTTCCGCGTTCATCCAAGGGTTTTGACTAAAATGTTCTTTAATGACCTTCTGTGGGACACAGCCGTCAATACAGAAGCGTATGTATCCAGACACCGCGTCACAGAATTCATTGACGTCCTCTGACTGAAACACAGACCAGTCCGTAGCATCAAAACAACCTTGTAGCTTCATGCTAGCCTCCTCAGACCAACACTGCACAGTGCGAGAGGTTGGTTTATGTTCCCTGCTCCTCTGAGTATACGAAGGAAGAAGGAGAACAGAGGAGTGGTCAGACTTTCCAAAGGGAGGTCTGAGACTGGACCTGTAAGCTCCCTTTACGTTACTGTAGCAGTGATCCAGAACATGTGCTCCTCTTGTAGCTTGAGTCACATGTTGGTAAAAGTTTGAGAGTACAGTCTTTAAATTACATTTATTGAAATCCCCAGCAACAGTGATGACTGCGTTAGGATGAGCAGACTCGTGTTTGTGAAGGATCTCGCTCAGATCCTGTAGGGCTACTTTGTAATCCGCCCGTGGGTGAATGTAAACAGCACATAAAAATATCATTGAAAACTGTCATTTCCCAATATCATGCTGTCATTTCCCAATATCATACTGTCATTTCCCAATATCATGCTGTCATTTCCCAATATCATACTGTCATTTCCCGATATCATACTGTCATTTCCCGATATCATACTGTCATTTCCCGATATCATGCTGTCATTTCCCGATATCATGCTGTCATTTCCCAATATCATGCTGTCATTTCCCAATATCATGCTGTCATTTTCCAATATCATACTGTCATTTTCCAATATCATACTGTCATTACCCAATATCATACTGTCATTTCCCAATATCATACTGTCATTTCCCAATATCATACTGTCATTTCCCAATATCATGCTGTCATTTCCCAATATCCTCCTGTCATTTCCCAATATCATGCTGTCATTTCCCAATATCATACTGTCATTTCCCAATATCATGCTGTAATTTCCCAATAGCATGCTGTCATTTCCCAATATCATACTGTCATTTCCCAATATCATGTTGTCATTTCCCAATATCATGCTGTCATTTCCCAATAGCATGCTGTCATTTCCCAATATCATACTGTCATTTCCCAATATCATGTTGTCATTTCCCAATATCATGCTGTCATTTCCCAATATCATGCTGTCATTTCCCAATATCATGCTGTCATTTCCCAATATCATACTGTCATTTCCCAATATCATACTGTCATTTCCCAATATCATACTGTCATTTCCCAATATCATACTGTCATTTCCCAATATCATACTGTCATTTCCCAATATCATACTGTCATTTCCCAATATCATGCTGTCATTTCCCAATATCATACTGTCATTTCCCAATATTATGCTGTCATTTCCCAATATCATTCTGTCATTTCCCAATATCATACTGTCATTTCCCAATATCATGCTTTCATTTCCCAATATCATGCTGTCATTTCCCAATATCATACTGTCATTTCCCAATATCATACTGTCATTTCCCATTATCATACTGTCATTTCCCATTATCATACTGTCATTTGGATGGATCATATGTTTTTCTCTTGTCCACAGGTCTTTGTCCTTTGTGACCTGTTTGGGCAGCTTCTCCTTCCTGCTGCTGGGAGCCATGTATTTCATCATTGATGTGAGAGGCTGGTGGAGAGGGCGGCCCTTCATATTCCCAGGTTCTGTTTGTTGAGCTTTGTTTAAAAGCTTTAGTGCATTTTGCTGAGACGGAGGACTAGGTTTTAATACCGCTCTTTGTTACGGTCCTGAGCCTACATATTGCTCCCTGTTTTTGTATTTTGTGTGTGTGTGTGTGGAAACTTCTCCTGTCTGAAGATCCCTGGCCTGTCATTGGACAATCACTGGCCCTCCCGCCTCCCGGAGGTTTGTTACGACCCAGCTCAGCTAGGGTGAGGGAGGTAACAAATTAAAACCAAGATGTTGGAATGGAAAAGCAAGTATTTAATAAAAGGCAAGTAAATGATAAGTAGACAAAAATCAAAAGGACACAATACAGGACATAAGAGGGTAACTCAACGCTACCAAATTAAAACCTACACTAATACACAGAAATAAACACTAAACCTACTGTTGTCTCAACTGATGCGAAGTGTCACGAAAACAAAACCTCAAAGTGACAAATAAAAAGAGACAAACCAAAACAAAGCTATACGGACTCGTCTTTAAGTCATTGCCACCACTGTGACAATGACAGACATTTCTCAAGGACAATGGCATACCAGCCACACACAGGCTGGCAGCCTCGAACAGGTGTGGAGTGTGGCCTTAAGTGGAGACTGACTCCAGGTGGGGGAGCTGGACCGGCCAGGTGCACCGCCGCTCCTCCAATCAGCGTCCGAGTCTCAACCTCCGGGAGGCGGGAGGGCCAGTGATTGTCCAATGACAGGCCAGGGATCTTCAGGCAGGAGAGGTTTCCACACACACACACAAAATACAAAAACAGGGAACAATATGTAGGCTCAGGGCCGTAACACTCTTTACGAAAAGCAGCGCTAGACAATCACTCACCTACGCTCACAATTATATTATATGTCGTGCAGGAATTCGGCAATGTATTTTTAACCCGATTCCACTTTAGTTTATCAGCACTTGACTTTACTTATCTTGGGTTTGAATCCCGGTCGGCACAGGGACTTTTTGAGTGGAGTTTGCATGTTCTCCCTATGTAGGTTTTTCTTCCAGATGCTCCAGTGTCCCCAACCACTAAAAACATATACCCTTTCTTTGGAGCCAGTATTTCTATGAAAAAAAGATTCTGGTTAAATACGTGTCAAAAATAATAAATGATCAAAGTTCTCTCCAAATGCATTAGGAAGCAGTGGCGGCTGGTGGAATTTTCTACTGGGGGGGCTATGAATATGATGACTAGATATATACCAGCAGTAAGTAAGTTTACACTGACTGTTGTGACTGAAGCCTCACACGAGAATCAACAAGGTCACATGATCAGGCCTGTAGCTTTCATCCAGCTGGGATGAAATATTTATCTTCCCAAACATAGCTAATTTGAGGGCATTTTGCATGTGGATACCAGTCTGCTCATGCTTCTTTGCCTTTTCTAAAAAGTGCTTCAGATCAGTCATACCTGTCTTGATCCATGCTGGGTCAGATCCTGATGTTTGAAACAAGAGGCATGGAAAGCAAAATAAAGCATTAGCCTCGCTACATGCTGCTAGCCAAGATTTGGCGCTGAACCAGGTCCTGGAAAAAGTACGAGTGTACCGTCTCCCCCTGTCGCTGGACTGCTGACTAATGGTAATATTTGGCTGATCAGGTCCAAGCTCTTTAACCTCAACCTTCTCCTGGTATGATCTTCTCTCAAACGGTATTGTTTTGAGTGATCTAACTGAATTATTCTTTTTCTCGTTCTCCATTTTGCGTCTCTTTACGTTCGTCTCAAACTCCCACAGCTTGACCTGTCAATCACTGTAAACGGACGTCACAGACAGTGACAGTACAGGTCGCGGGCGATCCCGCCCCCTCAGGGCGCACTTCTCCTGCGCCCCCAAATCGTCTTATCTCTTGCATTGAAGAGGAGCTACTGCGCATGTACAACTTTTAACGAGAGTCCATAGACGGCTCAGGGCGCAATCTTTTGCGCCCTGAGGCGGAAATACGTCCTCAGTCCGACACAGACAACGCTGATGAGCTTAATCAATCCAACTCAGCATAAACTATAAAGTATTTCTTCCACATCTGAAATAAAACACACATAAATTTCGAAATATTTTAATGTTATTTTTTTTTTTAACGTTTTATTCAAGGTAACATGGCAAGTTGTGAGTGGTGGGGCGGCGCCCTAGCGCCCTCTATTGGCCGGCCGCCACTGTTAGGAAGAGTTTGTAAGATTTTTCCACGGGCCGATAACACACATTTTAAAACTGTCTGAAGTCAGGCTGTTCTGAGTTTTGAAATGAGGTATGACATCCAAGCTGAAGTTGACTGAATGATACATGTTTACTATCTCACCAGACACATTAGGGCTATAGACAATCAAAAACAAATAGGTTCAAGGTGACTTTGTTTTTTGTGGGTAGATTCTTTTTGCAGTTAAAAAGAGGTGGACTTGGCATCTATACAAAAAGTACTCATAAAAATCACGTTTACACAAATAACAATAAAAAACAACAAATAAGTAAAGAAAAGAAGGTAAAAATGTTAAATAGAGTAAGCGGCTAAATTCCAGAGGTGCTGAGCTTTTTAAGGTATAGCACGCACATATTGGTGAAGCTGAAGTTGGCTGGATCACACTGATAATCTGTGTTTATGGTTTTAATGGTTGTTTTGGGTTAGCAAGGCAGTGGGCCACATAACCTGACATAAATGACTCACGGGTCTTAGTTTGGACATGCCTGAAAAAGCCAATAAATATTAAATTTCAAAATAAAATGAAAATCATATTGAGTTTCTCCAGTAACACCCTTGCATTGAGTCAGACCAAACAAAACCTGCAGCTGACTTTAGCGTGTGATAAAAAATGCTAATATCCGCACACAATGGTTTCCTCATCAGGAAGTCAGGCTTTGTGAGAAGTGTGCCTGGCGTATTGGAGCTCCGCCCTTCTGCTGCGCTATAGACTCCAACACAAACTGCTCTACGTTTAACAAGAGCAGCTGCGAGATACACAAAAGCCTTTATGGTCAGAGGAAATGACAAGAAATCAACAAAAGTGGATTTAAAGTAATGCTGTAAAACGTCAAAGTAAAGTGACCGTTCAGTGAGGCTCAAAGTAACGTCATCGGTTCAAAAGCAAACTATATGAATATGCAATTATCACCTGCTTAAAGATGTCATTGCGCAATACCTATTTTTTTAACCTTATCTGGTCCACGGTCACCTCCTTTACTTTCTTAACATGTTTCTGTGGCATTTCACAAGCATGTTCGCATGTGAGCATAAGCGGGAGACAAAAATCCACTGCTTGCTCCCATGATCTGCTCCCATGTCTGCACTTTGTTGAGACAGTGCTGTACAGAAACTCGATGTGGACAGACTGAAACAGGAAATGCTTATGAAAAAATCTAAATTGTGGAAAGTTATTGCTCAGAGTTGGTGCAGATGAGGGAAAATAGGACGAGGAGATTGGGGTTGGAAGGTGGCATTAAAAACCGCTCAGTTTAAATTGTGGTCAGAACGGAGAAAGAATGTGATAAGTTGAATGGGATAAACGGTGAGAAGTGTATGAAGACTTTACTTTTAGCATCATATGAACACGTCAGGTTCCACAAGAATGATCCACGTTATAACTGTTATTATAACCGTAGATTGTTGGTTCTAGTTTTCTGTGGCCCTTTAGCAAAATGTCTTCCGAGGGCCCACTTTGCTGTAACTCATTCAAACATGGATCTCTTGACATTTCTGTCAAAGTGGAAGAAATTATTGTATCTGCGATCTTATGTTCTCTTACAATACAAACAAAAAACAGTATAACTCAGATTTGAATCCCTAGTTTTATCAGTTCAAGGAAATTATAAAAAGTGTGGTGACAAACACACACGCAATATTATTGTTGTTTTTTAAGAGTTTTTTTTTTAATTCTAAATCTCTATGGGACTTTTTGGTTCAAAACAATAAAATACAATTAAAAGTCTATTGGGATCTGCACACTGATATAATAATAATAATAATTCAACATTTTAGTTAGTAATGTTATTCAGTTATAGTTTCAGCTATATAATAATGTAAGTTTACATTCTTGGGGTGGCAACTTTAGAACTCTAGACCTGGGATCTCTAGTGCAGGTTATAGTGTGCTTAATGAGTAAGTACGCCTCTGTGTCTCTATAGCAAATACATTGTTAAGTCTATTTGATGCATTTTTAGCCTTACGAGTAACAAGCACATTTCTCTGTCCTCCTAAAGGTACAAACTCCATCCTGGTGTACGTGGGCCACTCTCTGCTGGGCTTCTACTTCCCCTTCAGCTGGGACATGAGTGTTCGGGACAGTCACTGGGAGCTGCTCTTCATGAACCTCTGGGGCACCTCTCTCTGGGTCCTAGTGTCCTACCTGCTCTACCGTAAACGCTTTTTCCTCAAAATATGAACTCGCTCACTCTATAGAGGCTTTTATCTTGTGTCTGATGAGGAGTATTGATTATCTGAGCATGAAGGCTGTAAAAACACAGCTCCAGCAGATATTGCTCAATTTTTATGTCATCTACTCTTGGTCATCAAGCTTTTTTACCACATTTTAGTGTCTGCATACGAGTTTGGCTTGTTTTCAAGACTAGAAAGGGTTCAGAGGGATTACTGTGCTGCTGTGTTGGGAAAATAAATAATAATACCCAGTCCTGTCAGTCTGACTTTCTGGACCAGCAACATTTTAAAACAAAAGTACTTTTTGTCCACATATAGGCCACACTTGAATAAAAGCCACAAGTTTTCATGTTGTAATGTAGCAGATAGACGGCTGATTTAACTGGTCACAACATTATTTAATGGTGAGGTGTTTACCAGCTGAACCATTAGCTTCCTTGCTGTCTTGCTGGTACATATTCACCAATCTATTTTGACAATAAACATGTGTCCTACAGCTACTAAAACTTCATGGAGTCAAAATAAAAAACTCCATAATCTCTGCCACAATAAAAATACACATGTTAGCCACATGGCTATATAAGCTGCGGGATTTAGCAGCTTGTAGTTGCTAAATCCCGGATATATGGTGTATTGATTTATCATTGATTAACTAATGGCCTTTTTTTGCTATATAGTAAAAAGATGTTCACCCTTTTCTTTGTGACAAAACACAAGTTGAACCCAATTTAAGTTTCTGACATCACCTCTAACTGCTGTGTATGTTATGCCCTATCATGATATTGAACAAAAACACATATTTGCATAATATTTTGTGATCATCCACCTCTTGCTCAACAGTTTTCACCTTTGCTGCTCTAAACTCGGACCTAATTGAGATAATATATTTGTGTCTGGTCCTCATTGGGGTGCCATGTTTTGCACCTTGTGTCTCGTTCAGTAAATGGACTGATTAAGGTGAATATGGCGTGGTGCTACTTAACAAATTAGCTTGAGTGATTCTACAACGCACCGGGGCGGCCATTACGGCTCCGTTTCCATGGACACCCTGTTTGTGTGCCCGACTGTGGAGACCATCTGCCCCTGACCGGCTCTTTACTGCGGTCAAGATGCTCCTCTCACAAAGGGCCGTTAATGTGGGCGACACCTCCTGTACTTTACAATTAGATAATAAGGAAATGCACCAGACCTGTTTGAAGAGCTGCCGTTTTACATTTAACTGTTTGAACATCATTCTGGGATAATTTGAGGGTGAATTAGTTAAATATAAGTTGCAGTTTCAGACTAAATCAAGGGAAATAGATTAACGTAGATCACTGACATGAGCGAAGGCCCAAATTACAGCTTAAAAAGACAACTTTCTTGTCTTGTATTTGTACATTGTTTTACTTCTGTGATCCATAGACTCAAGATTCAAGAATTTATTTGCCATTTGCAGTAAAACCACATTGGAAAAACTGTGCAAGACTACCCCAGTGTGCACCAGAAGATAGTGCACGCCAAAGCTTTTAGTCACTGTATATAGATGGACAATGCTAACCCCTTATCTGGATGAAGCCCAACAGGGAAGTGCTCATGGGCGCAGTTTTGCTACATCTCTAAACCTAACCCTTAACACTTACATTGAAAAGTAAACTCCTCTTTCTCAGTAACCGTTTGTTTTACACACATTTTGGGCTAAACAAATCTGTGGTTTAGTATTCTTTATGACCCTTGGGTTTTATGGCAATATTGTTTTGGTAAATCCAGATTTGAGCCATAAGGATTGACCAATCAGCTGCCTTGATTCGTGGGGGACGCTTCACTTTGCCCTGGCATCCATCTTAGCAACATGTCTCAAAGTTATCTCCAGCTAGCGTTTGTTTAAATTGACTTCTTCCACATTCAGAAAGCACTATGTTGACGTTAGCACTCGGTATAGCAGAGGACATAAGCAACATTCATCACTCACCGTTCCAAATATTAACCAGAGCATAGATTACCTATTTTAGCACATTGACAAACCTGAGACTGAGAGAGATGGTCCTGAATGTTTTGACTGATTTATGCCTGTGATAGTTAAGCGTGTGGAGCTCTGGTCAGGCGGTGCGTACATCATGAAACCACCATCTCTTTAATGAAATGAGGCCGCGCTTCCTTTGCTGCAAATTCTATTACTCACTGCTCTCAGGCCTAACGACGGCCGACAGATGTGGTGTGGCCTCAACCGTAATTGGACCAAACAGTTGTTGTTGTTTGAATCTTTTAGTATTTCTTTCAGGAATGTAAATGTGTTGTTTCTTTTGCCTCTAAATCCACTTTCTGCCAAGACACGATTAGAATATACCTTTCCCAGAGACTTTTACCTGATGTTGTCACGAATGTCAAAAGGGGTTTCCATGAAGGGGTTGGGATAATTTGCTTTGCTATAGTTCCTGCTGCCTTTTTTGAATGTAAGTAGTAGTAGTAGTAAGTAATCTTTATTTATATACCGCCTTTCACAAACCGGAGTCACAAAGCGGTTTAGAATTGTTATTATTTTTGGGCACTTGTCCTCTCACTCCACTCAGAGATGGGAGTGGGGTCGCCAGTACAGGAAGCGCATGCTAGACCTATTGTTCATGTTTTTAGTGGCAGGGGAAACCGGAGTACCCGGAGGAAACCTACGCAGACACGGGGAGAACATGCAAACTCCACTCAGAAAGGCCCTGGTCCGGCCGGGATTCGAACCCAGGACCTTCTTGCTGAGAGGCGAGAGTGCTATCCACTCAGCCACCGTGCCGCCCATGTAGTGTTGATATATTGTACAAGAATGTTCACACAAAAATACCAACTTTAGCTTGTATAGCGACCGATGCAAAGTGATAGGAGTATGGTTTGGAGTTGAGGGGAGAAAGTACAGTATACATGTATGAGTATAACATGTAAAGAAGACAGGTGTGTTTGCCAATGATAAATGTTATGGATTACATGTTTTAAATCTCAATGTTGAGAATAAAAATGAGTTTGCTAACTTTTTGGAAAACTACTGTATTAATTAGGGCTGAAAGAGATATCATTATTGAGATATGAACATTGATGAATTTAGAAGAAGTAACAAAATAAATGATATAGCATTCTCTCTAAAATTCCTTTAGATGTTTGTACAATTGTAAAGCGCTTTGTTGCAACTCTTAGTCTGTGAAAAGCTCTATATGAATAAATATACGAGCACTGTATTTTGAGTTTTCACTGAACCTATGCGTGTATAGTATCAATAAAATCAATAGTCTCTTCATGGCCTCGCACCAAAATATATTAGTGACATGTTAGTCCCATATGAACCAGCCCGGACTCTGAGGAGCTCAGGGACTGGACTCCTGTTAGTGCCCAGAGTCAGAACTAAACATGGGGAGGCTGCTTTTCAGATTCATGCTGCTAAAATCTGGAATAATCTTCCTGAAGATGTGAGACAGGCCTCCTCTCTGACAATGTTTAAAACCAGGTTAAAAACAGTTCTGTTTAGCTGTGCATACAACTGAGGGATTTTATATTATTATCTTTCGTTTTAATGTACTGTGATTATTTATGATTTTAATGCAATCTTGTTCGGTACTTTGAGTTGCCTTGTGTACGAATTGTGCTATACAAATAAACTTGCCTTGCCTTGCCTTAAAATCACAATATCTGGCATAAATATGGAGTCCATATTGTTCAGACCCAGTACTGTGTCAATATAGAGAAAATTCTTGGTCGCCTATGGGGTAAGGTTACTGTCAATAAAGACGTGCATGTCTAAAAAAAAATGCGTGCATATTTATTGGTATTTGTGCAAAAAAATATTTTATTAATTCATGATTAAGATAATACAAACTAAAAATACATGGAATTTCGTAATTAAGAATAAAAAAATATAAAACTGTATGTGTGATTTTGTTTTTGTGAATGCGAATTTTTGTGTGCTTGCATTTTCTTTTTGAGAATACGAATTTCAGCAGTGAGCAAACTGTCAATATGACGTCACTGCTCACAGACATTAACAATCGAGCCTGCGCAGAGTTGATCATGGCAGAGGGCAACAACATTAACAATTTCGCTAAAAATCAGGTAAATAACTATTTGATCATTTTGGTCGTAAATAAATGTGTAAGAAATATTAATTCCATAAAATGTGTTCATAAGATGTTTCTTGTCCCTCTAGAAACGTTTTTTTAGGCAGTGTTTAGTTAACACTAGCTTCAAGGCTAGTTTTACAGCTTACCATGTTATTTTAAAACCAACATTTTTACATTCTTAGCATTTACATTTGATGAGGCCTTGGCCCCGAATCAATGTGGTTAAAGTGTTGATACCAGCCCCAACCCTCCAGATTATTCATAGTTCGCGCTGTTACTGCCCCTGAACAATATGAAGAACACCTCCGTGCTATACTCATCCTCGGTTGTTAGACGTAGCTTATATTTGTACATTTGACACATTACTTTTACTCACTAGTTCAGTAACGCTAGTTAGTCTGTTGTTTAGACTAAAATAAATGCATTATTTTCTGTAGAATAAAACAATATAAGGATAAAAAAATAACACTAGCATTGGAGCTAACAACACTGCCAAAAAACCTTTAGAGGGACAAGAAACATCTTCTCATGAACACATTTATGGAATTAATATTTCTTACACATTCATTTACGACCAAAATGATAAAACATAGTTATATACCTGATTTTGAGCCACGTTATTTATGTTGTGTCCCTCTGCCATGTTTAGTTTTGGGGCAATGAAGTTGATCGACTCTGTGCAGGCTCGATTGTTAATGTCTGTGAGCAGTGACGTCATATTGACAGTTTGCTCACTGCTGAAATTCGTATTCTCAAAAAGAAAATGCAAGCACAAAAAAAATTGCATTCACAAAAACAAAATCACACATACAGTTTTATATTTTTTTATTCTTAATTACGAAATTCCATGTATTTTTAGTTTGTATTATCTTAATCATGAATTAATAAAATATTTTTTTGCACAAATACCAATAAATATGCCCGCATTTTTTTA